ACTATGAGGAGGTGTACGAACCACACCCAAACCTTTTCGGTTATGGCAGTGGTCACCGGCTCGATTGGGCATCAAGGTGTATTGAGCACCTCGGACGTTTGACCCCATCCAAAAGGCGTACGATCCGATAAACTGGACACCGGCTCCCAATGAATTGCGGTTTTCACCGACCGCCTCGCTGCCTTACGGGCCAGGCTTTGGTTAGTCAAAGTCTCCCGTCGTGGATTCCCCAAGCAAATGCACCTGCTTTGGCCTGGACAACGTGGCAGTATTCGGCCCATTTGCAAATCGTGGAGCGTTTTTCTTTTTATAAATATTTTTGCACCATGATTTGCTTGGCACACAATATGGCATCAGACGTGTGATATATATATATAGTATTTGGATGGCATATGAATCACGGTTAGCAAATCCAAATAAGCGGGGTTGTTCAGAGTTATGGTCATCAGGTTACGTACCGATATTACTGTAGTTTATGAGCTCAAAATGAATTTAGTTTAATTTACTTTAATTTCCAGATTCCCACAGAAACTGAATTCAGTGAACGGTTATGACTCAAGCTCTGTCGTAAGCTCAGATAGATAGGACGTACCTCAGCCTCTCACCAATAGCCGGGTATAGGCTGCTGACATCACGAAGAAGCAGCTGCGTTTCCCACGAAAAGTTTTAAGCGTGAATTACTAACTGAATGCTATTATGAGTACCAGCACCGATGCTCTGTTGGCTAGTTATCATGTACCTCAGTGGAAAAGACGGCTGTGTTCTCTGAATTGTCTTCCAAGAGGAAATATACCATGCTGAATGTCAGAAGAAAATTATTTTTCATCGTAGGGTGGGTGTGGGGGAAAATGGAAATACTGCATTTCTTTGAGAGATTGTACGCATACAGTCCTTTTAATGTTACTAATTAATAAGTTTGAATAAACTTTCACATGCAATGATTCCACCCAGTTATCTGTGTATCCATGAATGCACTGGGAAACAACTTAAGAAAACAGTGACGCGGCAAACTGATACATGCTAAGAAGAGGTTGCTTTGTGATGGTACCCGCTAAATCATTTACAAAGGTACAACGGCCAGCTGGGTGATAGCATCTTCAGTCAACTCCAATCAGTCTGCCTGGGTCACAAGTTAGACGTTACCAGATCGTATCGATTGTTGACATCGGTAGCAGCAGTAGGTTTATCAAGTACACGTGATTTAATCTGTTGTGCCCAGATCGAATATGCGTAAAATCCGACGCTGCGGTAGGAGGTTAAGTGTGATTTGCTTTTGACCGGAATATGCACTCCATAACACGAAGATCAAGCAAAGAACATTTTTAGCGGCTCCCGAATGCCACGGGTTAGTTGCACAGATCCGTGTTTTTATAAGAAACTGGCCAGCTTCAACACTAATCTTTGTTCAATCATTTTTCATGATTGATAATTAGAGTTATTTTCAACACATTTCTTCATGTGACTAGGAATGCGGCAAATTACTCCTAAAAGGGGTCCGAATTACAACTTGGCATTTCCAGGGGATATGAAAATTGGGATTGATCTAATGTTAACTAAAATTAACTCGTTGTGGACATATTGATAACTAATGTGATTTTGAAGGATTCTTCTAACATTCAAATTGTTGTTATTGCTCGAATTATCTTATTCTGCCCTTTTCATAGCAACGTTTACTGGTGAGAAGAGTAGTCATAAGTGAGAAACAAAGCCCGTACAAAAAGCTACAGGGAATTCATCTAAACCTCCGACTGAGAAAGATTGAATTGGTCAATAGGCAAATGCGGTTATTAAAAACTCGTTCTACCTCTAACTCTGCGCTGTGTACAGTAATCACTGAGTTTCAAGTTTATTTTTTATTTATTTCTGTGTACGACGAAATTATTTAAATAATCCTATTCAATTCTCCAC